GGGGGGGGGGGCACAGTAGGTTGCCTAAATGCAACAGGGATCTTGAGACAAATTCTTTATCCCTTACACATCTCACTATAGAGACGGAATAATTAGAAGGGCCCCCCCACCCCCATCTCTAACGTGCAAGGAGCAGACGACCGGTTGCCTACCTACTAGGCGGACCCTCATTCGGTATAGTTTTGTTCTCTATTTTTTATGTCTTCTGTAAAGTTAATGCACTTCGCTCAGCTACCCCGTGCACAATGTTAACGCACGGGGCCCTACGTTAAGGAAAGGAAAAGTGCAGGAGGAGACCTTTCGCATCCTGCTGGTATGGCATCCCACCGCACACGTGGAGTGGAGTCGCCGGTGGCCGCCGCGACAATTCCAGCCCGACCCGTCTGGTCGCCGTCGTCACAAGCGTAGTCTGGCCTGCACCGACCTTTTGCAACCTTTTGTCTCGCTTCTTTTGAAGTCAAGGAAAAAGTGGGATATGAACGAATCAACATTTCTTAGTGTTTTCGTCGCTCTACTTTTGAAAATTCAGCCGTCGTTTCCAAGAGGCTTTCTCAGGGGCTGTCGTGCAGCGTGTTTGTGCCCCCGGTTGACGTGCAGGTTGATTGATTTGATGCGACGGTTCGGAGGTCCACCCTGCGGCTGCGTGCCGATGATTGGCATGGCGGCATCCCCTGATAGGCCCCCTCTGCGCTGGACGAGGCTGGGCCCTCCTGGACACGAGCACGGCGGACTCTAACGTCCTCTGAAACAAATTGGTCGTCGATGGAAGCCAAACCCGCCCTGCACAACGCGGCTCTCGGATGTATTTATAGCGGGACGTGTTCGATCATCCTCGCTCACACATCGCCGTGGTGCCCGGCCTGGCCGCGTGGCGCTATTACTTCTTGTTGAACCATTTTCGCACTACATGCAGTGGGGCGGCGTGCCAGGCGGGCCCAGCGGGTCCTCTCGTGAGCCGCACCTGCACGCCGTTTAGCGCGCTGTGATCCGCGCCAGATCTGGGCCTGATCACAGCGGGGCGGGGGGCGGGGTCCGCGGGCGACCTCACCGACCGCACCACCGCGGGCCTCGCGCAAACACTTCAGAACGGCGGCGCTGAGTGAGTCGCTGCCTCCCTCCCCCTTCCCCTCTCTTTCCCCGCCCCTTTTCTTTTCGAGGAAGTTCATTAATACGTTGCGTGGCGCCCCAACGCATGAGGTGTGTAATGAGGTGTTGTTATTCTATGGGAAGGGAAGACAAGAAGAGCGGAAGCTCATTCCAGGCTTGGGAGGGAGAGAAAGTAGTGTGTGGCTGGCTGAGACAGAGGCGGCCTGTGTGTTTACTGATGCAGCGGTCAATTTTTTGGGGCCACGTCGTCGAGCTTTGCGTTATGCTCGGCGCCGTTTCGGGTCATTGCCTTTGTCTTCGCAATGTGTACATCCCCTCCCCCTTTACTTACTAGCAGAAGGGAAAAGGGATGTGAACGGTTAGGGAGGGGAGGGGGGTGTTCAGAGAGGGTTGGCCGGGTGATCTCTGACCTCAATCTCCCTGCAAAGCCACCGCCAGGCTGCCGTGTAAGTGCGCGGGTCGCGGCCCGCCCGTCCACCCTCGCCGAGGCCCTCAATGTGTCCATTGTGCCGTGTGGCCTGTGGCCCGGGCGGCTGACGGCGGCCTGCTGCTCATGCAGAGGGGGCCGGTCAGCCCGCGTTGACTGACAGGGGATCGCTTGCTGCAGGCCGTCAGCGTCAGCTGCGTCAGAACTGGGTCGGGCTGCCTACGAAGCTGGGAGGCTCCATTCTGACTTGACTCTCAAATTCGTAGCGCGCACGGGTAAAGGCCGCGCTGACTGCGCGCCGCCACCGCTGCTGCTGCTGCTGCTACTGACTCACTGCCTACTCACGCTGCTCGCCTCGCAGACTAACATACTTACTGACATACCCACACTCGCTGTCCTGCTCGCTCACCCACTTACGCGCACCCACTTTATTGTAAAGAAGTCGTGGGAATGTGGGCCTTCTTCTCCTCCTTACTCGCCTCAGCCTCGCGTCCGGACGGAGCCCCTGGGGAGCAGACGGGCCCGCTGGGCGCGCGTGCGCTGCGAGTGCCTACCCCGCAGGCGCTCCCCTCTACCCACAGCAGCCGAGCCAGCGAGCTTTTGTTGTGTCTGCATCCGAAGGGTCGGCGGCGGAAATGCGCGCGGCGTGGTTTCAATCGAATAATGCAAATGTGATTGCATCTGCGAGGCCCTGCCGGCCGAGGCAGCGCTCGGGGGCGTGGTGAGGGCTGGCGGGGTGGGGGCAGGTCCGGTAACTGGGTGGAGTAAGTGGATCGTCCGTCTGCAGGACCGCTCAGCTCCGCCGTCGGGATGCTGCGGAGCGCGCCGCGCTGTGCCCGCGGGGGCCGCGCAGCGCCGGGACGTGGTGGGGCGTGGCGGGGCGCGGCGAGGCGGGGCGAGGCATCGCGCCGGAGCCGGCTGCTGGGCTGGCGGGAGCGGGGCGGCGGAGAGGCGGCGGACGTCGAGGATGTAGCTACGACCGGCTAGCGTCAGTTGGCGAGTGCTGGTTGACTTGAGCCGTTGGACCGGACGGACCCGAGCGAGCGGTGGTCGGCCACCGTCACGGGCGTGACAGGTGCCGCAGTGCGGGGTGCCACGATGCACCGAGTGTGAAGTGCTGAAGTGTGCGTGCGATTGTGTGTGTGTGCGCTTGCGTGTGAAGTGGAAATCGGCTGATAACGCCAGTGAAGTGGCTGCGCAGTGCGCATTCCTGTATTCTGTTTTACCGACATCCGCGTTGCAAGTTTGTATGCAACCCGGTTGCACGGTCCGGTGCGCAGCCGGCAGTGATCGCGCCCGCGGATTAAGTGGTGTGCTCCTCGTCCCTGGATACCCGCGAGGACCGGCGGCGGTCTGTGAGAAATCGAGTGTCCCGAGAGTGGTTCCGTTTCGGCGGCACTGGCCCGGCGGCCCCGCCCAGCCGCGGAAAGTGGCGGCGACAAGTGTCCGCGCTAATGGCCACCTGAGCCCGCTGCGCCGCCCCGCGCCGCGCGGACACCTCGGCGGTGGTCCCGTCCGTCGCGGACCCGTCCCGTTTGGGGGTCCTAATGGGAGCCGCGGCCCCCCGGCCGGCCCGCGCGCCGGCACGTGAACGATTTGACGGCTTTTAATCCCGAGCCCGCGCCATCGCCATGGTGTGTGCTGACGCGCCGGCCCACCGTGACCCGCGGAGCCCTCCGCCGTGGCGAATGTGGCCACCCAGCAGCGCCGCCAGCGCGGGTGGGCAGCGCCGGTCCCGGCCGCGGCCCCGTCGCCCGCTGACCTGAGGGACCCGAGGCACGCGAGGGACCTCACATGGCCATGGCCTCGCTAGCGGACGAGGGCCGGCTGCGCGGCGTGCGCAACGCGGTGGTGGAGCCGCTGCTCCGCATCAGGAGCTCCATCACGTCCTGGGCGCTCGTCTCCAACAACAAGCAGCACGCCGACGTGGCCACCTCGCCGGCCTCCACCGTCGGGCCGAGCCTGGGTGTGCTGCTGCTGCAGCAGCGGCCGCTCGATTCGCTGGGCCGGGGACTGGACCAGAGGCCGGCGCTGCTCAAGACGTTTCAACCGCTGCAACGCCCGCCCGCGGTGGCCGCGGCGTTGCCCTTGCCGCCGGAGCAGCCCGAGCCAAAGAAACAGTCGCCGCAGCCCGAGAGGGTGTACGACGAGCCCCGGGTACAGGTGCGCGCCTCAGAACCGCCCGCCGGCCCAGCGCCCAGCCCGCCGCGCAACTTGTCGCAGGAGTTCAAGGACATGTTCCCGCCCATGCGGCGCATTGTCATGCCGGAGCCGAAGGCTGCCGCCCTCAAGGGCAAGCCCGGCATCTTACCCAGCGAGGACGCCATACCCGAGGAGGATGGTGAGGACGACGACGATGACTTGCTGGGCGAGGACGTCAACCCGTACCACTACCCGTACGGACAGGAGCCGCCCTACTACGACACGCCCTTCACGGGCTTCACCGACGTTAACAAGGTGGCCATTGAGGTGTGCCCCACCCCCAGCCCTCGCTACCTCACTATGCGGCCCAGCGAGGACGCGGGAGGCGGTGACTCGTACGTGTCCGTCAACGGGAGCAGCGAGCCTCTGCCGGTCACCCCCAGCGCCCCTAAGGGAGAGGTGTTCAAGCTCAGCCTGTTCAGCGGGAGCAGCCACAGCAACGTGTTTACAGAAGAAGGCAGTGAGGGGGATGAGGACGACGACGACGAAGATGAGAATGACGAAGAAGACGAGAATGAAGACCTAGAAGGAGACGAAGACGAGGCGCCCTCTCAGCCTCTGGACCGAGTGTGTGCTACTTCGGACGCCGACCCTTCCTCTACTTCGGACACTGACGACTCGTCCTCCCTCTCCCTGTCCGACGACGGCGCGGGCAGCGTCCTCATGTTCCCGGGGGCCACCAGCGCCGTCAGCCACTACAGCAACATGGGCGGGCAGGGTTCGTCCTGGTCCCTAGTCAGTGAGGACGAGGACGCTCCTCGGCCGGTGTTCGGCGACCCGTTTGACACCATCAAGTACAACAGCCTGCGGAGGAACCACGGCAACGACCCGGAGCGGGGGCACTGCCACTACAGTAACGTGTCCGAGTACTTCGACCACCAGCGCGACCCCCTTAGCGCGCTGGGAGAGGCGCTCGCCCTGGGCGGCCCGCCCGCCGTGCGCCGGCGCAGCCACGTCGGCCCGCACTACGTCAACGCGAGCAGCGTGTGCTCGGAGGCGGCGAGCAGCTTCCGCCTGTCGCAGAGCCGCTCCATGCAGTCCGTCAGCCTGCTGGACCACGTCCTGGACCCCGACCAGGACGGCGCGCAGCCGCTGGACCTGTCCGTGTCGGCGGCCAGGTCGCCGTCGCCGCCCGCCGCCGCGCCGCAGCCGAGCCCGCGCAAGGGCGGCGCGCAGGTGTTCCGGCGGCAGAGCTACCGCCGCCAGCGCGACAACTCGCTCAACCCGCACCGCCAGGCGTCGGCCTGGGCCTGGGCCTGCCAGGGCAGCGGGCAGGGCGCCGTGCCGCCGCTCAGCGAGATCTGCATCCGGGCGCTGCTGCGCTACGTGGCTGCCTGTGTACGTAGCTTGGCGCACAGCGCACAGCGACGAGTGCCAATTAGAGACTGCGCGGCACAGCCGTTGCGCTCATAGACACTTTACCTGTCAGAGTTTTCGAAACTCCCTGCAGCTGACAAACGGCTCGCTCTCGATGCTGGGACAGAACTGTCTTTGAGCCCGTCTAGGCGCGCGGAGCGCCTACCCCAGGCAGCAAAATGATGCAAACTGCATTCAAACCGCATTATATGTCCAATCGGGAGAGGGGACATCTAATGCGGTTTGAATGCAGTTTGCATCGTTTTGCTGCCTGGGTGGGGCGCTAGGCGTGCTCAGAGACAGGGTGCCGTTGCACATCTGAAACGCGCCACGTATGATGGGCGCTGCGCGGCGCTCCGCCATCCCTCTCCCGATTGGACTGATGGCCGCATTGTCCTGCGCTCATCGGCCGGCCGGCTGTTAGTCCCGGACATGAAGCGGTGCAGCCGCAGGAATGAGATTGCTCTCCGAGCCGCCTCGGGGCGCCGCAGGGCAGCGGCCACGGCGGAGGGGTCGCGCCGCTGACTGAGGCGCCGCGCGGCCAGAGTACTCGTGGCCCTTATCGAGTTGTATGTGAACCTCGCTTGCTCTTCGATTGTGCTCACGGTCAAGGCCTACCCGCGCGCTCGCCCCCCCCC